CTCAAGCCATGCTGCATAAATATTGCTTTGCATGCTTCTAACTTGCAATTAACTTCATAATTAATTGTTTACACAACTGTTAGAGCTATGATCCAAGCATTTGAGCCATTGTCCAAGAGATTCATCCATTTTTGGCACAAAGTAACATTGCCATTCTTGTAAACTTGCTTTGATCACAAAGTCAACTTGTCTTGAGCCTCTAACTTATTTTTTCTGAACACACTCAATATACAAGATCAGATAAGCATGTTTAAAGCCTATAACTACTCTAGATTACCTTATACTATGCATTGGAACAATGTTTGTCAAGGTTGCTTCAAAAACAAGTCAAAAAACCATAACATGTGATCTTGTGAATCTGATCACATCAAGCCCTCAAACCTCTTGCCTATAAATAGAAGATGTATTTGCAAGCTAAAACACGAATGGAAAAGCCCTCAAACTCCCTCAAACTCAGAATTGCATCAAAAACTCCATTGTTTGTCATTTTTGTCCAAAAACTCCAATCTCATAATTCACTCATGCGTTTTCCCTCTAAATCATTCTCAAAGTATCTATACATCATAAACAACTCATCCCCACCACTGTTTCATAACTATAACTCCATTTCCATTATTGTTCAAACCTCACTTTGCACCTCTGCAACTTGACTTCTCCAGCACAATTCAGCCACTTTCAGCATGAAGTAAAAGTTGTATTAGCTTCCTTGGAGTCCAGTGAAGCTATTCAGATCATAACCACACCTTCAGAAGTGCTCAAACTCCATACAAGATTTCCAATTTTGAGGTTTGTTTTCTCAACTTTGAACTCTCTCTACAAGCATCATTAATGGTTACTTTGTGAATAAAAATGTAGACATCTTAGCTCCGAAGCTAACCATGCCCTTAGTTTTCATTTATATTGCCTGAGTGATGCGAATTTTGAGTTTGAATTTTCTGAAAAAATTAGGTTTTATTTGGTACAAACAAAAATTCATGTTCATCTGTGATTTATAGCTTTAGTTATTTACATGGTTGAATTCGTGGTGAATAATGGAATAACTTTTATGTTTACAATTTTGAAAATGGTTGAGAATTGAGGAAGTTACAAAATTAAAAAATGGTGATGAAGAAGCTGGCGCGAGGAAGAAGATGAAATTGTAACTAGGACTAAATTTATTTTAAATTTAGCGTAACATGAATTATGACCGGATGAAACAACCACCATAGTGGCAGGAAAAACGCGCGTAAGACATTAGTGTGTAGGGACCTGGGTTCGAGCCCCAATGATACCCTTTTAGTTTTTTCTTATTATATCTTTGCAGATCTAGTGCATACAGGCCACACGCGTTCATGGTAAATTCAATATTCCACATGAGTAGGTCCATGGTACATCCCAATAAGCTGGTCACACATGATCAAAACATGCGCTGGGCTCCTTAGTATTGGGCCCTTTGTTTTTTGTTTTTGCTAATTTTGCACCCCTTTTATTTCTCATACCAACTGGCCCAATTTCTTTTTATTTTTATTTTTCTGACTCATACAAAAAACACATTTGGGCCTGGCGCCCCTGTTTGTTACCTCTTATCCCTCCAATTATTTTTTAACACCCAACCCAAAACTTTTATATTCCTTATATTTTATTTTCTATACTTCATTTATTTATTTAACTCAAAAATATAAAAAAAATATTTTCTTAAATAATTAAATCAAAAATATTTTAATGTGAATATTTTATTTTATTAAATTAAATTTTATCATTTCTTTCATAGAACATTTTCTTTATTAACTTTAACAAAAAAATCATTTTCTAAACAAAATTAAATTAGACTTAGGTTTTTACTTTTAATGAACTTAGATTTAGGTTTTGTTAATAATCAATTAACTTTTCTTATAATTAAAGTTAATTAGTTCAATTAGGTTAATCTCTAAACCTTTCTATAAAAAAACTCTAGAAAACAAATTTTTGCTTTATCTTTTGTGCATAATTATTGTTGTAATTCATATTCAATGGTTTGTAATAGTAATTAGGACTTCATTGCTTTCCTCCCCTCATTCACAAAATTGTACCCCCCCCCCCCCCCCCCCCCCCCCACCCATTTCCAAAGCATTGTAATAGCGTAGGACATTTAAATTATGTAATTTATCGCTTTTCTTATTATTGTTAGTAATTAGGATTTACATGGCAAGATCTTAAAATCAAAATTAGACAACCCTAATTCAAGATAAAGTAATTGAATCAAACACACTTTGCACACTTGCACCTCTAGGATAACTGCACTTGTTGGCTCAAATATAAACAATCATGTCCCTTGTACGTGATTTGTTTTAGCAAAGACTCTCGATTAAAAGATCATAGTCCCTCAATGATCCTCCAATGTTACCTTCGGTAAATGATCTTAGTCCTTTACGACAATTGCTAAAACATCTTACAAGTTGCTTTTTATGACTGTACGATGACCCACGCCTGTCCCCCATATCCAATGATATGACGGCTCCCTACCAACCAATTGTAAAGTAGCACTATCTAAAAGAGGAGGAAAAGAACAAAGATTTTTTGAATAGGAAGATTACTCGTAATTGCTTGCTCACAAACAAAACCATTTACACTTTAAACTTTCAAAACATGTTTCAAACAAACATTTTATATACATTCTCAAGGATACGAGAATCATTACAAAACGGCTTTACATTGACATTTTCAAACATCTTTCCAAACACTTAATTTCAACAAATATTTTTAAAACCAACACTTTGTATACATTCTCAACGATCCGAGAATCATTGCAAAGTTCACCAAACTTAGGCGTTTTCAAAATATTTTTAAACTTACATAAACACAAAACATTTCAATATGATCAAACAATTAAAAGTCCGTAGATAGCTACAGATGAAAAGGGTGCTAACACCTTCCATTTTCATAACCTACCCCCCGAACTCAAGAAAATTTTCAAAAGATCTTTCCTGTTCTTTTCACCCTTTTCTTTATTGGATAAAAGAAAAGTCGGTGACGACTCTTGTTACCTGCAACATTTACGATAAAACGCAAAATACTGAAGTCAGTTCTTCCACCGTATCACACTTAGGTTTTATGGTTTTATTAGAAATTAAATGTTGTTATGTTTTATCGCCTTCATAATGATTTCATGTATAAAAAGTTTGGTACGTGTTAGATTAATATTGTGATTAAACTTAGAAATTAAACTATGATAATAGATTTTTTAATTAATTGAATAACTTTGATTTACACATATCGTATAAAATGAATTTAAATCAATTGAAGAGTTGATTGCTTTAGTTTTTTCATCTTTCATTCATTTTACCTGTTTAAGTGCATACAAAAATCATTTGAATCACATATATTATATAAAAATTTTACTACACCGAGTAAATTTATTAAGCTTCGATTTCAAAAAAGAAAACTTTTAAATTGATTTTTTTAGAAACAATCTATTCAACCTCACATTCTAGACTATTATAGTCCATATTCTCTGCCCCACAATATCAATTTGATTTCTTTTTCAGTAATTTCAATTAGTTTCAAAACATATACCTTTATATGTCCTGAATGAATATATTTTCTACTTGAACGAATTCCTCAAGCATTGCTTATAGCTCATTCCCAAAGTGTTGCTTGCGGCTGAGTTCACTGTTTGTTACTTGTAGGCGAGTTGAATCTACTTTGATAAAGATTCTAACAGCAACATGTAACTAACTCAAACTCATAAATAAGATGAATAATTGTCTCATTTATAAACACATATTTAAGTCATATTCTGTTTCATATAAGACTCTTAGCAATTACATTTAATTAACTTTTTTATTCAAAGTAAAATTTATTTTTACTTAATAATAATAGAGTAATGTATTTACTAATTAATCATTCATCAAAACCATCAACTAATAAAAGTAGGTAATTTATTTCCCTTAAGTCTAACTTTATCGGATGTTCCATAAGAGCACCCACATCGATTGAATCTGTGGATGGTTTCACATTCCCCAATGACACATCTGTTAGTAGCAATGGATATTTAAGTATGTAATGCATGGTATAATAAAGTCATTGTGGTAAAATAATACTACTGTGTCTTTGTTTTTTCTTTGTATTTTATAGATTACTTATATAATGGGGTTGATGCGACCCAATTTAAATTTTTGAATAAATACTATTAAGTAAAAATTCTTTTTTTTTTTTAAATTTATTGATTAATAAATATATCTGATCTATATAAATAATTATATATATTTATTATTCAATAAATTTTAAAAAAATATTTATTTATAATAATTGCCAGACGGAGTATAAATGTTTAAGAATTATTGTTGAGTGAATTAAAATTTTGAAAAGTATAAAATAATACAAAAAATTATATCAAATCTATTTAAGACATCAAAATAAATGACATTAATGTTGAAACTCTAAAAGATTATTTCTTTAAGAAGAATACTTAAATATAATTTTATTGGTGTGATTCATATTTTTTTCAATAAATATAAAAATATTTTAAAGAGTATATATATATATATAAAGAAATTATACCATTATCATATTTTTATTTAAAAAAATATAAACTATATTTAAGAAAATAAATTTAAATTTTTTCTTTTCCTTAAATCTAAGTAGTAGGGTCGATGTCATTCAACATGGCCAGTCATGTTCTACCACGTGACCCAAAAGAAGCAAAAAGAGGTTGACGTGGCGTTACCACAACTAAACTACAGGAAAAGTTATATGCAAAAAAAACTTAAAGAATCTTCAAAAGTGTTGAAAAAGAAAATCTATTCCAAGCCACAAAAACTTGTGGCCAAGAATCAAAACACAAAGCTGACGTGGCGCGCAACTGTTGTTTAAACGGATCAAAATCCAATTCTTCGTGCACTCAATTTTTCGCTAAAATTTCCTCGAAAAAACCGAAACACTCGTTAAAACATTCTTCAACAACGAACGAACGAACACCAAATCTGCAAAGAAACATAAACCTTAACTTTTGTTTTGTTGTGCTCTGTTTGGATCCCGAGAAAATGATTGAAAGTAAAGATCCTGAAATTAATCTATTCGGGCAGAAGATTCTCTTTCTTGGGGAAGGTGAAGCTATGGATGTAGAAGAAGAAGAAGAAAGAGATAGATATTTTAGTGAATCCGAGAGTGAAGATGAAGAAACAACAAAGGTAAAACTTTTTTTATATAAGAACATCTCAACGTAGAATTAAGCAATTACAGTAATTACTTATTGCTCATTTGTTAGTTTGAACTTATTGTAGTTTATTTTCTTTATAATGTAAACTTTAGCATGTGATATTGTATTAGTTTTTCTTTTACTTTTTTTCTAATTATTTTATTTTTATATGGTTTTTATTTTTTTATGTTCCAAAACATACATGGTTTTTGTAACAGAGTGTTGGAAACAAAGTTGATCTTTTACTTCTTTGAACTCATAAAATTGTGAATTATGTATGTATGATATTCGATTTGCATCGCCAACACTTTAAATTGGGAGATTCAAGACCACTTTTCTTTTTGAAAAATCTTGATATCCAGTCTTAAGAGCGACTAATCTAAATGGACTAATTCCACCAAGTGGACCCGTTTATGGATTTTACTCAACACAAGAATTATTTGTAGTTAGCAGAATTAAAACAGGAGAACTCGAGAGAAACACACTATCAGGATCCAAATCTTTACTATTAGGTCAACTCATCTCTTTTGGTTTAATGAGAAGTCGAATGTTCAAACTTAACCTTATACACACAATAGCGTTAAATTTTATTGAAAAAGAGTTTTTCTGATCATCGTGATATTAATCTTGCAGCTTCTGCGTAAAAGACACTAAAATTGAAGTCATGTTTTTTTTTTTTGTATATAATGTTTATTTATGAGTATTCAGATTTATTGAGAGAAAATTTTGTCTAATTAATAGGACAATGAAGCTGAAAAGGACACTGAGAAAAGTAAAGAAGTTGATCCTTCACCAAATTCTGCAGAGATCAAGAACAACTATTCAGTAACAACATCAACATTAGCAGAAGCTATTCAGAATCCAAAAACACCATCTCTTGATGAAGAAATATCAAAATCCGAAAACGAACAAAGTGATGTAGCAGCAACAACAAACAACAACAACAACAATAATCATGAGAAAACACTTAAGAAGCCCGACAAATTACTCCCATGTCTGCGCTGCAACAGCGGGGACACAAAATTCTGTTACTATAACAACTACAATGTCAACCAGCCGCGCTATTTCTGCAGAGCGTGTCAAAGATACTGGACTGCAGGCGGAACTATGAGGAATGTTCCAGTTGGTGCAGGGAGAAGAAAGAACAAAAACAACTCTTTGTCATCACATTATCGCCACATCACTATCTCTGAGGCACTTGATGCAGCAAGAGTTTTTTCTCCTGATGAAACTCATTATGTTCCAAATTTGAAAACCAATGGTAGACTCCTTAGCTTTGGATTGGATCGCCCATCAATCTGTGATTCAATGAAAAATGCCAACAGTCATGCAGAGAAAAAGGGTCTTAGCGACACTCATGATGATCATTGTTCAAGTTCATCTTCTATTACAGTTTCAAAATCTATGGAACAAAGTGGCAAAAACATGTCACAAGAATCATTACCATCGCAAAATAGTGGTTTTGTTCCTCAAGTTCCATGCATTACTAGCGTTCCTTGGCCTTACCCTTGGAGTTCTTCCGCGATTCCCATGCCGCAAACATTGTGTCCTCCTGGATTTCCCATGTCATTCTACCCTACTCCATTTTGGAACTGCGGTGTTCCGGGAAATTGGAATGTTCCTTGGTTCCCCTCTCATACTTCGGCAACAAGTCCTAGTTTATCAAACTCTAGTACGAATTCTCCAACGCCCGGGAAACGCTCGAGGAATTATGATGATGAGAACAATGATGAGACGGCTAAACAAGACGATTTTGGAAAAGAAGAATCACCAAGACAAAGAAGTGGTAATGTTTTGGTTCCAAAAACATTGAGAGTTGATGATCCAAATGAAGCTGCAAAGAGTTCTATATGGGAAACACTTGGAATCAAGAATGAATGTGTGAGTAAGGGAGGCATGACCAAAGCTTTTCAACCAAAGAAAGATGGAAAAGAACATGTTGAAACTTCTCCATTGTTGATGGCTAATCCTGCAGCTTTGGCTAGATCACTTAATTTTCATGAAAATTCTTAAATAAGAAATAACCCTTTTATGTTTGTGTTTATGAATTGAGGTTAATCACTTCTTTTCTTGAGACAGTGACCATCTTTCTCATCAATGACCATTTGATTAGCCTTGTTCATCCTTAGTATGAAGTGAAGTTTGGTAGTCTCAACACCAAAAAGGGAACTAATTCTGTCTCTCTTTTTATGTGAAATTATGGATAGGTGTTTTTTTATGTGCTTACTTTGTTGAGTTTGTGTTTATGTACATCAAAATAAACATATGTGAGAATATATACTTTCTAGAGATGGAAAAGATCTTTACTACTTTCTTATGGTACATGAAAATGCTTCCTTTGTTTTACATGTTTTGGTGTTTTGAAGAATAATCAGTGCATGTTAGGACTAACTCACAATATCACCAAATAGGAACAACACAAGAGGAATCTTATTTTGTCAAAAGGGTGTGATTGAAAAAGAGGTCCAAAGCTTAGAATATAACCATATCTCTTGACTCTCACAACTTAATAAACAAATGTTCAAATCTGAGACTGTTTATATCTAGTTTGCTGTCAATGTCTTGAGTAAGATTATTTGCACAAACAGATTTGAAGTGATGCGTCTCCTTTTGCCGTTATCCAGCGGCTTAGATTTTAAATTGTATTAGATGAATGTTAAATTGGATTCTCTTAATGGATTTATTAATGAAGAAGTCTGTATCTATCAACCTCTTGATTTTGAGGATCATGAAAATTCTTATTATGTTTTTAAACTTAAACAAGTCATCTATAGTCCTAAACAAGCTCTTAGAATTTGGTATGAGCACCTTAATGCATGTTTGATTTGGCTTTTGGAATGAACAAAAGTAATTCTAGAGATGTAGAATTGATTGTGGATGATTTTGAGATGTTTGATTAGGCATAAGTAAAATTGATTCTGCCTTCAGAATTGATTCTAGGTGATTTTTACATTGAAATTTATTATTCAAGTCACTTTTACATAAATATATATCTAATCATAGTAAAGTAGATACAACATTGTGTATTAGACGTAAAGAAAATCATATTTTTTTGTTCAAATTTATGCTAATGATATTATATTTGAATTCACTAATGTTTCTCTTTGCTAGGAATTTTGCGAGTTTGATGCAAGGAGAGTTTGAAATGTCTCTAATGGGAGAGCTTACCTATTTTTAAGATTGTAGATAAAGCAAACTAAAGCTGACACGATCATCAGTCAGAAAAATATTGCTTGGTCCTAAAGAATTTTGATATGCAAGATTTGAAAAGAATATCAACTCTCATTCCTTCAAATGTGTTGATAGATAAAGATGAATAAAATGTAGAGATAAATATTACCAAATATAGAGGTATAATAGAATCTTTACTCTATTGAAGTGCGAGTATATCAGATAATATGTTTAGTATGTGTATGTGTGCTCGATTTCAGTCGTCACCTAGGAAATCCCACTTTAAGATCGTAAAAAGAATTTTGAGGTATCTTAATATAACTTCTTATCATAGTCTTTGGTTTCCCAAAGGTAGTAAATGTAGTTTGGTAGGTTTTCCGATTCTGTTTTTCCTTGTTGTAAAGTCGGATAGGAAAAGCACTAGTGATACCTGTCATTTGTTTGGAAATTGTTTGGTTTCTTGGTACAATAAGAAGCAGCATAATGTTGTTTTTTCTACCATGGAGGCTTAATATATAGCCTTCGATAACTGTTTTGCACACGTCTTATGGCTAAAGAAACAATTATTGGATTATAATTTAAAACTCTATTGTGTCCCTATCAAATGTGATAACACTAGCGCAATAAGTCTTACTATGAATCTTATGCTTCATTCACGTATTAAACATATAGAATCCACCATCATTTCTATAGGGATCATGTTGAAAAGGGTGATGTTATTTTTTATATGTGGATGCGAAAAATTAATTGAACGATTGTTGGCTAGGATTTTTACAAAGGGTTAAAATTCAACCAAAAGCAAAAAAGGTTCTTTGAAGACTTTGAATTATAGAAAATCGACCACAGAAGCAGTCGATCGGAAGAGGTTTCATAAAAGGTCAATTTGGGCTTGTGGACACAGTCGACTAGAAAAGAGACCTCATGAGAAATGTATTGGGTCCAGGAGTGTTAAAAAGCCCAACATAGAGAATAACTAGCAAACCAAAGCGTTGTAAATGGAGAACATGGATTCGATAGCAGGAATGGAGAACGTGGGTTCAATGGCAGGAATGGAGAATATGAGTTCATAAAGGAAAGTTACAAGTGACATGTGGCTCATAAAGAAGCGAAGACCGCTGAAAAGTAATTATTTTCATATATTATAAATAAAGTACTTAGTGCATAGTGTAAGAGGTTCAAACTTTCACGTTCCTACACGCTAGTCACTCAGATTACCCAAGCGAATGAGTGAAATGAGTCAAGTAAGGGGCGATGTATGTTTGAATCAACTCATTTTCAACTATTTTGATATTATGTCATCTATTTTTACAGTTTAAAACGTCTTTGTTTTATTTTACAATTCCTGCTTTATTTCTTTTAAATTTGTTTCGCCTTAGTCGAGCGAACCCTTTTGAACATACTTTATGAAAACATTCAAAAGCTGAAGCACAAGATTCCCTGGTCAATCTAGCCAGTAAACTTTCTGCTAAGAGATCAGCGTTGTTTACCGAAACCAGAGGTAAACAAATTGGCACGCCCAGTGAGACAGTGCTAATAATTTCGTATTTTGTGTGTAGTCTTACAAAGTTTCTTATAGTTAGTGTGTGTATGAATTTAAGAAGTGGTAAACTTTTGTCCAAGTCTAAAATATCACGCTCTGACACAAACACGACACATACGCAAATTTTTATACAAAATGTGAATGTCATACCAGTAAGTACCACAACTCAAAGCTCGACAATTTTATCTCTCGTAAGATCAACCGTTGTTCATGGTTCAGGGGAAACAGTCACAATGATAGAACCTAGGCATGGGATATCACCATTTAGCCCAAATCGACCACTCTTTCCATGGGATCATGGGTCATCATTTGTCTCTTACCAATATGGTATGCCTTATTCCATGATGGTTGGGTTACAGTCGAACCGACCACATATACAGAAAACACAGTGGCCACTGGAAACCAAGGCAGTTATGTCCCAAGTGGTCGACCAGGTGATGTTAGTTATGTCCCGCAGTCGAGACCATCTTTAAATACTACTTCCGTTATGGCTTTAAGGAAACAAATAGATGCAAGTAATTTAGAGTTAGTAAACATCTTAACTCAACAAATGGGAGTTGCCCTCAATACTGTAGTTGACCAAATAGGTAGATTGGTTGACCCATTAAGGGTCCAACCAACTCAAACGCGCCAAAGGTCATTGAGAGTTTTTGAAGAACTAGAGGGGGAAATAATGAGCGTCCTTATAGACCTCGAAGAGTGGAATCACCCACTTATGAAGAGTAAGAATTCGTTGAACAATACAAACCTAGGCCGGTCGTAGTTAGGAGAAACCAAGATGTTGATCGAGTGCTAAGAAATGCCACCGTTGGGCGTAACAACATAGTGAATATGGTAGAAGAAGTATTAATACAATATGGAGTAAATGTTAGCCTCCAGAGGCCCAATTACTCTTCGCTCTTGCTCGATTACATTCGACAGGAAGAACTACCTAGGGGATGTAAGGTACCTAAATTTACCAAGTTTGTTGGTGATGCCAATGAGTCGACCATATAACACGTTGCTAGGTATGAAACAGAAGCTGGCGATATCGCCAACGATGAGGGTTTAAAATTAAGATATTTTCCTAATTCATTGATAAAAAATTCTTTTACTTGGTTTACGACGTTGACTCTAAAATCCATACGCACTTGGGAACAACTTTAGGGTATTTCATGAGAAATTTTATACTGGTCAATCTAAGATAAGTTTGAAAGAGTTATCCTTAATTAATAGGAGGTCGTCTGAGTCAATGGAAGATTATTTAAATAAGTTTAGGATCCTAAAGTCTAGATGCTTTAATAGAGTTCCTAAACATGAGTTGGTCGAAATGGCCGCTTGGGGTTAGATTATTCTATTAGGAAAAAGTTTGATCCTCAATTTAATACAAATATGTCCCAACTAGCTGATAAAGTTAGATATGTCGAACGTTTGAAGGCAGAGAAAGCTAAGGTGTAAAAGAACCATAGAAAAAGGCAAAATTGCCTATGTAGACACGGAAGATTATTCCATAGAGTCTGAGGATGAATACATGGAAGAAAGAGAAGTCAATATGGATGAATTGAATTCTGGACCTCTGTATGCATGTAAACCTATAAGACCGTCAAAAGGAAAGACAATCGAAGAACCAAAAAATAATGCGTCTAGTACTAAAACATATAATTTTTATGTGTCAAAATGTGATGAAATATCTGACGTTTTAGTTTCAGATGGTCATATTATAGTGCCTCCAGACAGTAAAAATCCACCATTAGAGCAGAAATAAAAAAGAGGTTTTTGTAAGTATCATAATTTTTGGATCATAACACTTCTCAGTGTTTTCTTTTCAGGGATTTGATTCAAAAAGCTCTGAAAGATGGTCAATTGAAATTTTGTGAGAAACCAAAAAGCTCCATGAAGGTCGACTCATACCCTTTGCATGTTGCTAATATGCACTTTGTCGAACCATTGGAAGTGCTGATGATTGAGGCTAATGATGGTCTCAAAGGCGAACAGGCGGGCATTATCAATTCACTCGTAGCATTGACAATCAAGACCACTGATGATTTTGAGAGTGAATAAGGTGTGACCGCTGATCCAATGATAACTGCAACAGTCGGGACTACTGAAGGTCTCAAAAGTTCCAATGGAAACTTGTCTAAGCCATAAGAAGTGATGGTGGTTGATATTGCTGAAGAGCCTGAAGTTAACCAAGACGACAAGGAGAAAATGGACTGTGAAACTAAAAATGAAGAATTGTCTGAAGAAATAGTTGATGAGTTAATGAAGGTTGTTTTTCCCAAACCTGAAGAGGATTTGGTGGATTTTCTGAACAGGTTCAAGC